TTTTCTTCTGCTCTTCTGTTCTTGTTGAATAAGATTTTCTGCGTTTATCAATGTAAATCTCCCTTCGCTTTTCTTTACTCGTTAAGTAGGTCTGATGTTTTAATTATTTACGTCGCTGTTCAGAGGCCAACCGTTCTTGGTTAGTGAACTTTCTACGTCCAACAACACCCTAGCAAATCTTCGTCTGCTTTTTTTCCCATCTGTTCTTATTGAATACGTTTTTCTACGTTTATCAATGTAAGTCTTCCTTCGCTTTTCTTTATTCGTTAAATATGTCTGATGTTTGAGTTTTTACGTCGTTATTCAGAGGCCAACTGTTCTTGGTCAGTCAACTTTCTACGTCCAATCCCACCCTTGCAATTCTTCGTCTGTTTTTCTACATGTGTCGTTAATATGGTATCGTTTATCAATGTAAGTCTTCTTTCGCTTTTCTTTATTTCTTAAATATGTCTGATGTTGTAATTCTTTACGTCGCTGTTCAGAGGTCAACAGTTCTTGTTCAGTCAACGTTTTACGTCCAGCCCCACCCCTGCAAATCTTCGTCTTAAAATCGATCATAAAGTCAGTTTTCATAATAGTTTTCGTAATCGTAATATATCGAATGAGTATCAGTTTACCTTGTAGGAGTTGTTAGAGTTGATACTCCAAATACTTGATAACTTCTTCTTTCACTTTTCTGATGTTTTAGGCCAGATGTCAGTCAATATTCAAGAATGCAAAGTGCTCCTTCTGGAGCAGTGATAATACGACTGGCTTGATATTTTTTGATTTCTTTGTTGTGAAGCGTTATATTTGTTTACTCGACATTGTTGTGTTCCACAACAATGCCGAGTAAACAAATATCTGTTGGCATTGTTGATGACGTCATTTTTTGATGACAAATTGGTTGAAGACAATGACTAATCACAAATTTTTATAGTAATAAGATTCTCTGTGACTTTTGCATGACCATACACATCATTATCATTTCGCAAGTCAGTGACAGGAGTATATTGATATTTTTCTCATTTAACTGCCCTATAAATCTCATTCTGCTCATTTATACTTACAGGCATTTACTCGGACTGGGAGAAGAAAATTATCAAATCTGCATTAGCAAATCTGTAACTGCAAGTGATGTCTCACCTTATCAGCAGGGACAATGAAGAAAGTTTCTATGTTGTACTTCTGTAGTACTTCATTACGTGTACTTCCATTACCAGGAATGCACCGATAGTTATTGCCTAGGAGATTTAGTGTTTCCTTTGTTATATGCACCCTCCTGCAAAATAAAAAAAAAGTATTTTATATCATAGACATCTTCTTTCTCAGTGAGGTTTTCAGGTTCTCACAGCAGTGAGTTTAAAGATGACTGACGACTGACTTTGGGATTTTGCATTGCGTGGGTCAGATAGAAGTTTACTGTTGTTTCAGAGGTGCTTGCTGCTTCCATCATCACACCAATCATTGCCATGATGATGAAGGCATTAAGCACTTTTGAAACGCCAGTCTAATTGTACCAGATAACACAACGCAAATTTCCACAGACAGTCATCTTCTTTCTTGGTAAAATTTACTTGTCCAACCATGTTATTAATATGTTCCTATGACAACAATGATGATGATGATGATAACAAAATGGAAAAGCACTGACCTACATTTATAACTTACCCAGGTTTCCCAGCCTGTTCCATGTTGTTGGCAATAATGACATCACGTGACCATACATCATACTGCCATTTACATACACCCAGAAGACCACTCAGAATCTTGCCAGAATGAATCCCAATTCGCATATCAAGAGTTTCTTTCAGTTTCCTTTCTTCTCTGGAAATACAAAAGAAGAGGGTTACAGCAATCTGGAAACATCACAAATCATAGCAATGTCATATTTCAACAACTCTAACCCTCATGCCACAGTTGTAATTCCTAGGCAAAATAGTTGTCTGTATGAGACAGAAAAGTCTCCAGTTTTCAGTTCCATAAGAAATGGAACTGTAACACTGCAGGCAGAGTGTAAACAATCATTGTTCTCCAGGTTGCAAGTTGCTGCAACTAAATCTTCATTTTGTGAAAAATATACTAATAATACTGGACATAGGATGGAATTAATGGGAGACAAGTATGCAAATTATGAAATGTACACAATAATTCACTGAGTGTTTTAAACATCACAACTGTAGAGCAAATGTATGAATTATGGGTGAGTTAAACTTGAGAGATGGTCTACAATACAATCAACAGAAAAGTTCTTAATGGTCTTAACAGCTCACATTTACTGATGAATACCTCCCCCCACCATATACCCAACCATATAGTAATAATGTACAAGTCACACTCTGCTACTGCTCATTTGTCTTACCTGACCTCCTTAATGATTGCAATCATATCAAGTCCTAGGTCTACACAGTTCTTGGCATGGTTAGGATTGTAATCAGGAACACCCGAAACACAGTAATAGCAATCCCCAAGAAACTTTATTCTCAACACTCCACGCTCCTGTAAGAAACAACAGTTTCTCTGTGGCTTAAATTCCAATAATAAATTCAATTCAGTAAGCCATTACCCACTAAAAATAAATAAATAAGGTATGTAATAATTTATAACTATGAAATCCATTAACAACAGTTTTGCAGTTATACACATCCATCAGAGATAAAAATGTCACAGACTTTTGTGCTCTTTCATTTACAACAAGCTGTTATGACAATATGCTAATGACTTAATTTTGTGCTGGGTTATCATTAGTATAACTGAGGCGTAATTTCTGGAGAAATATCGCTGTTTCAGTGCCAATATAATAACAGACTATATCAGTTAGTTTAAAAATAGTTAAATTTTTCAGTAATGTTTTAATATTATTACATATATACTCTGTGTTTCTTCTATAAAGTATTGTAGCTGCACTCAGATGTTACAAAGGGAGGGCAGGATGTAGAACATATTAAGATTTTTTGGGGAGAAAAAGAAGAGAGAGAAAAGCAAGTAAAATGAAGTTAAAATAAATTGTGCTCTTTATTTTAGTGACAGATTTTAATTCAGGGGTACTATAAGTGCAGGGGGTTCAGCCATACTTGAGCACTGAGCCCCTTCTGCTCTCAGGCATTCCAAACTATACTATAAATATTATTAATTCTGTCAATATATCTACATCACAAATTAAATATTTTATGTGATAAGAATTGTATAAGATGTTATTAAAGAATATGTCTGGGCAAAATTTAAATGTCAGCCCTAAGCTGCCTAATGTCACATAAAATTACGATTCTGTGTTTGGATTTTATTAAGAAGTCTCACTACTACAGCTCATCAAAATATATAAACAGAAAATACAACACATAAACATATTTTCTTTCAAGTCCAAACTGTCTGATAACACTCTAGTTCAGGGTTTCCCTAAGCAGTTGGTAGGTAATATTATGTTCTCATAAGTCTTTACGTCTTTTGTGGCAATCATTATATTGGCCTACCATTTCAGTCAATATTCATCAGATTTAAATAAAACTACTGATAAGTGTAACTATTCTGCTTATCCCTTGCAAAGTATGGATGCATAAAAACTGTAAAAGAAACATTTTACAATATCCTGATGACTGATATTTATGGTTTAATAAGGACATTGTTTAAAATGTGAATATTTTACAGTATAATGAGTGGCTGGTGAAAGAACTGCCTTTTTTCCAAACCTTGGCACATCTACTGTAAGGTGATGAACGTTTGCAAACTACACTCAGGGAAAGTGACAGAAGAGAAGTTCTGTGAATATGTAAAATGAGAAAATCTATTGCAATCTTTACTTATGGGCATGTAATATTTCCCACTGAAACTTCAATGGGCATTACAGCAGTATTACAACTAATTCATCTCTCTACTTCCAGGAATAATTATTTACCTCTGAGGCCTCATCAAACCTGCCAAACAGTTCATTGAGCGTCTCAACCAGTTTATTGACTGGTAACGAAACTGTTAGCTGTGCATACTTGACCACATCAGCATACAGGATGCTCACATTGTCATGCTCTGTCACATACATGTCACTGTTACAAACACAAGAAGGTAAATAAAGTTATTATTTGTATTCAATATATCCAGGAAATTATTTAATAAAATTGAATATACATTATGATCTTCCAGAGTAAAATAAAATTAGACAAAAATATTCTAACATACTAATGAAATAAATAAAATAATAAAAATATATATAGTAAAACTTGTAATTTATATATGTTATGCACTGATACTAAAGACTCATAAATAAAAGAAAATATCCCTAGGTGTAGTCAGGTATAATATAGGTATGTACAGTCTATCATAAGTTCTATTAAGAACTTCCATGTAATAATGTCCACAAATGTATCTGAAAATATAATACATGAACATTACATAACAATATTAATAAATAATAAGGACAAAACATACCTAAAAGGCTTCTTCCTCAGAGGTGCGTTTATCTGCTGTATAAGACTTTGTATGTCTTTGCGAACATCATCAATAATGTGCCGTGGAATTATACTTAACATCAGATTTTCCTGCAAAGTCAGAACATATTAATTTAATCTTAAATATACATAAATGACCTTCCTCCAACAATAAAAGCAATAAATACTTTAATAGAACCCATAATATTTGCTGATGACACAAGTTTCATAATTTCTAATAAAAATTTTGATGATTTCTGTTCAACATCAAACATAGCTCTGTCTCATCTGAGTAAATGGTTTACTGCTAACAAGCTGGCCATGAATCTAGTTAAAACATATATAATAGAATTTATAACAAATAACTCACCACAATTAGTACTGGTTGTAATGGGAAGTATATACAAGAGTCAATAAATACAAAATTCCTGGGTTTGCAAATTGATAATCACCTAAATTGGGCAAATCTTATATAATAAACTGATACCTAAGTTACCTTTCCCCCCCAAGCGCATACATGGCATGTAGTAGAACAGCTTTACTTTTTAAATATTTTATTTCTAATAAAACTCACTTCCTGCTGCTTTTCATATTCCACTTTTGAATTGGATTCAAGACAGGCACGTCGATCCAAGAATGTCCGACGGATTGCCACTTCACTCATTAAGCGAAAGTACAGTCCCAGTCCATTAACACAAAGAAAGTACACAGTATCAGAAGCCAACTGCAAGGGAAACTGAAGTATTAGTTTCATGATTATTAATAAGTGATAAAAATCTAATTTGAATACTCATCCTTACATTTGTAAATACGTCTTCCTTCAAGATCAAAATCAGTAGGTTTACATTCTATTTTTCCAAAAAGAAGTGCTTCACACACACACACAAATACATTTTATGTACATTAAATTGTAAAATATAACACAATTTTCCAACAACTTTCATCACTAACTAGATGTCCTGGCAAAGAGTAGCCCGTCTTGCAACTGTTCTCTCCAGAGCCCCGTTTCTTGCCTGCCATTTCCCATGCCAACAAACTGCCTTGTCAATTGGGGCACTTCTTTATTGATGGGATAACATAATGAAAGGGCTGCAAATGAAAGCATTTTTTGCTTTTTGGGACATCAAAAATGTCAAATGACAAGCATGTTCTGTTAATACCTCTTGTTATCATATAGGTATTACATTCACACCAACATCAAAAACCATAATAATATATGAGTTAGTATTTTAAGTGCAGCACTGTCCCAAGTGGTCTAGCTGGTAAGTCACCAGTTCTTTAAAATGTTCCACCACTTCTAACTGTTATATTTGTATATTTATTGCTGGAATTTCCAACCATCTGCACCCATATAAACATATCTTATATGGAACCAGTAGACACTGTTTTAATTTTTGTTTTGAAACAAACTGGCGCAAATCTTTAATATCAATATTTTTAATTTCTTTACTTTCAGAACTTTTAATAAAAGCCTCACTTGTAAGATTATTCAGGTTATTTAACTGCAGTTTCTCATTTGGGCATTTAGATTAAATTCTATCACAGTCCATATAGGATTTTGCATGACCAAAGTGACAATAAAACAGGATTTGGATTTCTCCACTCAATGTACCATACACATCTAACATCCTGTTCTTCACATAAGGGGAAGGCTACATATTGCAACATTGGGGCTTCAATTCTGATCCAGCACTTGGCTGGACTAAATGTAAGGAAATTATAAAACAAATAAGTATGTGAACAATTAGGGTTAATAACAACTGAAAATAACAGCACATGGATTATATATAGTCCGCAACTGTAATCTTGAGACTTTTGAGGTGAGGAAGTGGGGTGAAGGAGGAAGGAGGAAAGATAGCGTCTGCCTTTGACGCTTCGGACTTCCTGCATCCTTGCAAGTCTCAAGATTGTAATCGCGTACTGTATTATATTTTGTTTACACTTCATAGTTTTCTATTCTATTCAAACAAAAATTTAAGCATGGGATTCAAGATAGCCAAATTATTGAAATAAAAGAGTTAAAAATTAAGTAAAATAGGAATACTGCATAACCAATAGCTATAGTAATAATTCAATAATTTTAAATAATTAAAATTATACTATCTAAACTAACTGAAAAATCTATGGACAGTCTATAAAGAGTCTGCTTTCTGTTCATAGTAAAAGTTCAATGTTAAACACTTTTGTACCCAGAAACATTTTATCCAGCATACTTCAATGCAATATGTGACTGAATACAACAGTCTTGAAATTAAAAGAAAATGAAGTGGACACAGTGAAGCATCCCATGTTAAAATAAACAGGCCTCAAGGAATTAAGTAACAGCAACTTTTATGTTATGTTACACTCACTCGTTCATAGATCTCTCGTTTCTTGTAATAAGTCACTGTGCCAAGAACTGTAAGATGACAGAGTGTGACAACAAGTCCCAGGATAAATGCTTGTATGTTTTCTGTGAGTGGTAAGAAAACATAACACACCAGAAGGGTGTGTGTTGTATAAGCTGGACGTAGAACATCAGCAGCTTCAGTACGGTTACTTGCATGGTACAAGGGTATTCCCAGATCAACGATGATAAGTAAGACTACGACAAAGCATGAAACAAGCAGAGAAATCCATGGAAATGTGTGCACCAGTCGCTCCTTGAACACAACGAACACTAGTGGCCAGCACAATGCCATCGCCACGCAATACAAAAGTGCATCAGGTAGAGGTGCCTCCTGTAAAGACAGAAAACAGATTTTAACCCCTCGAAGCTAAAGCTCATCTACATAATATTTAAGAATTCAATTTGCATGGCAATGAAAATACCACACTTCACAATTTCAAAGATTGACTTGTTAATGCTATTTTGAATGATAATCAGAATGAAGAGTTACTGATTGTTGAAGCAGGTAAGACATGTACTTACCACCGTGCTTTAAAGGGTTAAATGCTTTTGTTTTCAGGTTTGTGAAGTGATTAATTTTTAAGTTATTTCAAAAAGCTATTTCAACAGTAAGCATTATACAGCATCAAATGAGGTGGAAAGATGGTCACGAAAGGTGCGTAAGTAAGGAATTGGCTAAAGTTGAATGTCTCCTACTTTCAGATAATGTCCTGTTGTTCTACCAGAGGGAATAAAGATAACAACTAAAAGCCTCAGTCAGGATAGCTATTAACCCACCCAAGATTCTAACTAGGTAACTCCCAAATGAAATTCCAAGCACTTACTGCTGCACCACCCATTCAGCATTACACTAATAGAAGTCAAATTCTGATTTCATTAATGAAACTCTAAGTCCTGACACAGAACATTTTAAAATTTTCCATAATTCATATTAAACACCACATTATAATTTAATTTTCTGTTAACAGCACCTAAAGCTTCAGCAGAAAGAAAACCAAAGATGTCACTGAGCATAATCCTTAGGCAATTCGCATACTTCCAACCTATTTCTCCGAGATCCATCACAATATTTTAATTATTAAGATGCAAACTTTCAGAAGGTTTGCCATGTTCATTACTAGCTTCATGGTGAATATTCAGGACAGACAAGCAAACGGACTACCTGCCTCCATCCAATGAATATGACCCTGATGAAGATGAACTATGCTTGTGGTAGAATATAAGTAAATACTGGTAAAGTCTCCCTTGCAGGACAGTATACTCAAAGATTTGAAAGAAAATCATCTTAGTTGTGGTGAAGGACAGAAACCTACTGGTAACAAAATTAAAGCCCTGTCCCATCAATTTGGGGTTACTGGGAGCTTCCTTCCCATGTAGAAGATATCCCACGAACCTCAAATTAATATGCAAATGATGGTTAACAGTTTTATATTACAACATCCTGTTTTGAATGCATTATTTAGCCACTTCTTAACACAATGTTGTTTCACTGTCTATAATCAATTAACTATAGCATCACCATAGTTAGATAAAAATGTTATCTTTAAACAACATTTTCAATTGTAACAGTCATCATCATATTCCTACAGGGTTATGATAGTTCACTGATCACAGATGGTAAACAACATTGCATTAAGAATTGAATGAATGAAACAGTTATTTGGAAAGGCTAAGAAAAAGACTATTTAACAGCTCATCAACTACATACAAATAAATAAAAAAGGCTTCTGACAGGTACGTAATAGGACAGTTAACGTATGCAAATTGTAGTCTTCAAATGCTGTTCCTGTGTTAGATGTTCCAAACTCAAGCAAAGCTGGTTTTAAATGTTAGTCATCTTGTTAAATACGTGTGACCTACTCACTATAATCCATAAAATTGTCGCATGACTCAGACTTAGTAATGACTGCAACACCACAAAGACTGAAAAATAACCGAGGTGTAGGCGCTGCAGGTATTTGAGATACAATTCTTCTAGATTCTTCAGTCGGAATTGCCTCTGAAAAAAAATATAAATTTGCCATCACAAGGAAGTCCAGGATGAATTCTGAACACATCATGCATGTAACAACACTAGAAATATGTACTCCAAATTCAAGAATATATTAAGATTTCTGTCTTCTGGGTTGTTGCGCTGTGTAGTCTGGTCGATGTTAACCAACGTTTCAGAGGTCATACTGCCTCCATCATCAGGGCGATTCATCGCCCTGATAACTACACAGTGCAACAACCCAGAAGACAGAAATCTTCAAATTTGTGTTCAATTTACGATCCTCGCCCTGATGACAGAGGCAGTATGTATTTTCACTTGTGGATACGTCATTTACATTAATTGCTGATATGACTACTACAGCAGCACAATAAAAATTTACTTCTTCTAAATATTAAATGTGTAATCTCACTGATATAATCATGGATGTTATAGGATATCTATCTTAAATAAGCTGAACTCCTTCACCTTTTGTTTGTTAACTACTAAGCCATTTATACCTGGTAATACCAAATCTTAAATAAATATTAACCTACATATTTAGCGATTTGAAAATTGCAATATTTTTCAATATCATTTTAACAAAACCTGCATCAAGTTAGGATCCAAATCTTGAAGACTTTCTAATTCTGCATATTTTTCGAGAGGATTAGGTTGTCAGAAAATTGATTTAAAAGCCTCATCTTTATTTTTCACTAAACTGATCATAACAATTATATGAAAAAACTTATAAAGTTGTTATTTAATGAATAAATACATAAGGGACGGGTAATTAATGACCCTAGTAGGAAGGCCACTCATAATCTAATGCCATGAACACTAGGCAAAATTGTATTTTTTAACTTAAAGAATATAGCTGGTATTCAACTTGAAAACTGATAACAGCTGTAATTCTCCGCACAACTGAAATTATTCTACAGATGTTTGTTAGCTTTCAAATAATTCAGGTTTCAAGTCACTGTCTCTTAATAAACGTAATATGATTTCTCTATTGTCTGCTTAAAATAAAAATAGATGACAGAGAATTAGCCATAAGGCTTAAATCCTGGTTTACACGAGAATCATTGCTTGCATTACTGTTATTATTAATATAAATAAATTACAGGCACGTACATGTAGGGAGCGCTACTATTTACACTCCTGATGAAATTGTTATCACCTCTGGCTTCTACATTTTGACCTTGTATTAATCTGTTTTTCCTACTCTCATCAATTGTTTGCTCTAGCCTATGTATGTTTCCAGTTCTTCTCGGTCATCAGTCCATGTTATTTGCTTTCTAAGCACACTTTAAAGTTTTGCTCAACTTCTGTGAATCACACTATTATCTTTTTTTTAATTCTGTTCACTTGCAATTTTAATTTTCCTTTCCTGATGGATCGTGTGGGAATTTGCGAGCACATTAATGAATCTTTCGGCTCCATGAAAGGAGGGAAGTTATTGACCAGCTAAGCAACTATGGGTGCCCGGATTTATAACTTGTATTGGGCAAGGCCATGATCCAGGTATCACGGAGTTTTCCTCCGGGGCTTCCCCGGTTTCTCCGTGGCATCCCAACAATTACTCCATTCTCATCATCATTTACACACAGAAGAAGGCAATGGCAAACCACTTCTGGATCATTTGCCGAGGAAACATATAAACAGCTCTCTATCAAAGGAACTTGTTCATAATGTCACCAGGGGTCGGCTCCGACCCGATGGTATAAAAAATATATATGAGCTTCTAATGAAGGGCTCTGCTCCATGAAGTAGAATCCTCCAGTCTGGCTAGTAGTAGTAAAGAAATGTAAGATAATTTTTTTTGTATAACACAGCAGTAGCAAATTATTATTACTGTTGTTGTTGATGATGATGATGATGATGCAAAGTGGTGAGACTACTGAGATTAAAACAAACAAACAAAAATTGCATTTCTGCACGACCTCAGTTCTAGACCAGAATTCACCACTAATCTTGCTTGTAGAAATTATTGTGCACCCTATGTATTAACCCAGTAAATTTTAAAGATGCCCCACTACACGCCATGAAGGCGTGTGGGGGAGACGAGGTAAGTTCGTAATCATTTTTGACCTCAGCGCCACACTAGCACGTTTTACCCCCAGAGATTGGGCCCGTGGTACCCAACGGATAGGAAGCTGGATGGGTACCGGAGCCGATCTGGATGCAGAGATTAAAATAAAGAACTCTTCCCCTTGCCGAGGATCGAACACTTTTATAACATACTCGCGGAAGCAAAAATATCTGTTCTCTGCCGTTTGTTTCTCAGACTTGCCGTTTAGGATATATGGAATAAATGACAAGAACCAAAGAACTTGTCTGAAACATTTCCGATATTTTACATCTTTCGAGGCCTTATCTCTCCGTCCTACACGAGTGTATAAAATTTTATATATAAATTCACCTAAAGCACTGAAAAAGCATGACAGATGGATAGGCACTTGGGAATTAGTTGGGTCTGGCCGTTGTATTGTTATTGTCCGCTGGTCTTCGCGGCTTTCGGGAGAGAGTCACGTCGAATGTTTGGTGTTAACCAGGGTCTCGGAAAAAACTGCATTGCCCACCTTGAAAATGGCATCTGCAATGTTTAACACCAAATATTCGACTCGGCTGACTCCCGAAGGTCGAAGTTAAACAAGTTCGAGTTGGCTGTATCACCTTTTAAGGAATAATTCGATTGAAATGTTCCGAAGAATGATTAAATCGGTTATCTGTTTTCACGTTTGTCCTTTTTATCACATTTCCTACGTCAAGCGATAGCAAAACTAGATCATAAATTGATATATCAAAACCCACAGAATCCCGGTACCATTGTGCAAGTATCGTACGCCGTGTGTCACAAACTGAAAACGGATTTAGTCTCAGCGGACAAACACAGAAATGTGAGGTATGATATGAAGCTTTCACGGCGACAAGGTATAATGAATTCTTCTCGGGCTACTAGCCGTGTCAGGTAGCTCGAGAAGAATTCACTATACAGAAGTGTGAAATTTGAGATTTTCACGGTAATATTCTGGGTTTCGGGGCAGTGTAGACTCGTACACAGAGGCTTCCCTTCAGCTAACCTCACACAAATCCCTTCGCCTCCCAACAATGCTAATTCAGCCCTGAAGACGGAGACAGTATGTTTCTCCGAAACGTTTGTCATCTACCTGAGTCTACACGGTGCCAAAACCTACAACAACAACATAATGAAACACAGAAATGATTAAAGAATTTGGTATGGAATTAACTGGCAGCAGAATTATGCAATTTATTAAAATCTCGGTTTTTATTTACGTAGGTCTGAGCGATTTTTAAAACACGGGAGGGTAGGCGAATGACGACACGATGTCTTGTGTGTCTATATTCCTGCACACCTCATCACGGCGTTTTTTACGGGGCATTACATGCGTAGCAGGACTCGCCGACCGTACGCCCGCACGCAACCCTGTACACACGAAAGATTTTCGGGGCGTCCGCGAGAATGCTAGAATATTTATAAGGATTTCTAAACTGTTTTTCACACTGTCGCGATATTTCATCTTGAGCTAGTCGATACAGCAAATCGTAATATAATTATTAACTTACAATTCGAACTTCTTTTCGGTAAATTCATACTGTTCCCGCCACTTGGCCGTCGCCCAAAAATCTCTCTGTTAAGGTTCGGTGAGGACATGAGGTTTTATTGGAGCTATCAACGAACAACGCAACAAGATACTTCTCGAGAGATACTTTCGGCTGCACGTCCTTCAGTACTATCTAGACGCATTTCCTGGACTCACCCTGAGATAACCCCACCACCAATTGCGATCATCTGTGGGTTGGGTATTGAGCGTCTCTCTCAGGTAGTTGGAAACCTGACTGACGTGTCGCACTGAGTTCAGGCTACTCCGGCTGAAGAGCTCCTCCATTCCGGACGCCGACATCTGCAACAACAGTTGATATGCATGATTCTAGGTTTTCACGGAGGTGAATTTGAAGATGTCTGTCTTCTGCGTTGTTGCGCCGTGTATCTGGTATTAATTTACGGAGGTCCATGCTGCCTCCATCATCAGGGCGATCTTAACATTAGTTCGCTAGCTGCGGACAGAAATATAAAACTTCTCAATATTGTTTCGATTCATGTAAAAACGTCTAGTTTTTTTTATTTTCATGTCTCCAAGGAAACACATAGCACCTGGCTGGCTGGAGTAAGTAGGCAAATGATGGTCTTTATCTTATTGGCTCTGCTGTGTTCGAGTATATGGAGTACCGCTGATCCACAAAAGTAAGACAGAAGACAAATGTTTCGTTTGTCAAAGTGTGTACGGTTCTCACATGGTTGTCGCAAATTTCCTAATAACACGAGTTTCGTGATGCCTTGCATAGGATTTGACTCCCTCAATACATTTATTCAATGGGTAAGAAAATGTTAAGACTCACAAAGCATTTCACTTGTCTCAGACAACCTTAATACACTAACGAAGTTATTCATATCGAACAGCTTTCTCTTCATGTTTAGCTCAGCCGAGCTATATTGGTCGATCCATCAAAGCCCAGCCAACTTTTACTAATTGACTTCATTAATACTCAACATACAAAGGGGACCACGTCTTTTAACAGTAAAGTAAGAAAGGAACGACACATTAGTCAACTGGAAAGATAATTCAATTCTAAAGGGTTTTGACGACGGTAGTTTACACTTAAAATTATTCATTGTCAGGACTTTTCCCATCGTCTGTTCTTTAACACCACGACGTTTCGGAGGCTGGTTCTGTCTCCGTCTTCAGGTGAGAGGTACCTCCTCTGTTGGGTCCCTTAGATAGAGCTAGTCGTGGTTTTAAAGAACAGATGATGGAAAAAGTCCTGACAATGAATAATTTTAAGTGGAAAGATAATATTCATATTTGTGCGGACTGAATTCATCTGTCTCAGTACAGTCCATCAACGTACTCTTGTGGTCATAACGAACCTCAGGGTCCTGTAAAAGGCGGGGAATGTATTGACTAGCCGAACAACTAACAGTTTATCATGGAAGACCCTATTCTAGGACGTTATTGTAATTCGTGTAATATCGCTGCACGAAACACTAAGTTTACAGATCATTGGCTTCAATGTAAAAAATAAATTGGAAGAAATGTGGGAGGAAAGAATTTGTGGTTTATTTTAAGATATTACGTCAACATTCGCGTAGGTTTTTATGTTCTGAACTCGTCAGGTGAATGTATGCCTGAGGCCTAGAGACACGCTGCTTTTTGATATGACTTCAAACAGGAAACAAACATAAGGGGTCAGTAGCCTAATCTTTATTAGAGAACAAACTAGACGCGTAATTCATGAGTGTCACAGAACTGGTGTGTTGACCAGCGCAAGTTAATTCTTGACTGTAGAGACATGGTGTTTGATATTTTGTTTTCCCACACAACTAAACACAGTATGTATAAATATTTCAGTTGAATACAAAACGTTCTTTCATCAGTGCCTCTTCCTGTCAGTGCTTTATAATTTAAGCCTTATACATGTGACTCTCGTTACACACGGAGGTTGCGTTCCTGCAAATTTCCGCGTATAACGAAAACACGTAAAACGGGAAACGTATAATAATCGCCATCTTGGTGCTAAACTGTCGCCAGAATCATTTCACGACAAGCTTGTGATCTGCATCACATTCTCTGATACGCCTGGCGAAGTTTCGACGCAGGTAATAGGTTTTAAAGCTTGGCCGCGGATAGGATACTGATGCTTTTCATTATACTAAAACAAAAACGCGGATAGAGAAAGCGCGTATAACGAGAGTTACCTATAGATGAAACATCGTGATTCCTTCTACGTGCAATTCCTTATTAACCGAACGAGTGGCTGAGTGGTCAGAATTCTTGCCTCGTAGTCTGGAGTATCCCAGTTCATATCTCGGCCTCGAGGTCGACTATCCTGACTGAGATTGTGTGGTTTTCCTCAGTCCATCCAGGCAAATTCCGGAATATATTTTAAATTATCTTACAAACGTTTTGTTACAAATTCTTCCTATTCATTATCCAGTAGCCATACTATCATTTGACGCTGCATAGTCTGAACTTCTGAAAGTGTTGTTAACTAAATCAAAGACAAATAAATAAATCGTCTAAAAAATAAATTCTTTAAACTTGTGCCCAGAATACCAACAAAATGTACACAGTTTTCAAAAGCAGCATTCTTCTTTTTCTTCTTTGTTTATGACTATTCGTGACATTATTAGGATGACGAAATAACAGATAACGATGGTGTGTAGTACGCATGCGTGAAATAAGATTAAAGCTGGCCACAGAACACGATCCTGGACCATTTACAATCACCCACGCATACTTTTTATTTAACCATTTAATATTATTAGATGAATGCAAACTGCGTGGTTCTCACCATCCCCTCCCGTGTTCTTCTTTCCTTACAGAAGGGATTTTCAACCAGTGAGCCGTCATATTTATAATTCTAACACGTTTCCAGAAATTAACAGCAATTCACAAAGCGTAATAGTAGCAGCGCGATCTTGTTTAGCCCTGTTTCGTCTTCTTATCGGCCTTTAGTGCTTTCTATTTTAAATGGTTGTTGTTCTGATTAAAAACACAATGACGTTAGCGATTGTGCCACTATCTTAATGTAGCTTAAGTTTTTACTGTGATTTATCAGTAGATATCTCTTATTATTTCTTAACTACCCCTGTCGATTCTAGAAGTACGGAATTTCATTGTTTTTCAGATGTCTTTATATTTGTTACAAAACTGCTTTTCTTTTCGAAATAGACTTTTATAACATATTTTATTTATGTCACTAATTTATCTAACCTGATGAAGCAGAACCCTTCTTGAGAAGCTAGCAGTTGTTCAGATACTCAAATTCCCCGTCTTTTATGGAGCACGGAGACGTATTAAAATGTTCACTTGAGTCTGCTACAGAGGATGCGTGTTACACTTCGTAACACGTAGACGGTCGCCCCTTGTCGGCTGTCAGAAAGTGCTCATTCATCACAGGTAACTTAGAATCTTCTACTTTCCAAATATGGAGGTCAACTTTAACTGCGACGTGAAGACGCGCCATGAAGTCTAGTCGTCATTTATTATTTGTTTCTAAAATGTTATTCTGTTAAATAGTTCTATGGACTGTAATGAAGGGTATATTTAAAAACGTACATAAATGACAAGCATAATGGAGCGTGAAAAATAATATGAACATAGTCACGCATTTGCACAAAACATATTTACTAAATCAACTGACGTACCGGAGTAAGTTAGAAGTGCAGTTTGTATAAAATGTCAGCCTCAACATTGTAACGCAGCTTATTGGGTAGAAATCACGCCTACACCAGTTTCAACCCTTGTAGCCTACTGTTAAAGTCAAGGAAACAAATCTTTGCAAATCGCACTGCAAGTACAAAATTTTTAACGTCTTTATAAAGTTAATTAAGAGTGACGTCTTTACGGCGACCTGAGCCAGATTCCTGTCAAATGCAGCAACACAATATCGACCGCTCGACTCTGAACGATGACTCCGTCAAATCCCAACATAGGCGCAACCATAACTTCGTTTTAATGTCTTACTACCACAGTTGCAACCGTCAGAACGTAATTTTAATATTCCCGCAGCTTACTGCTATAAAACGTCCTGAAATATTTAACTCCACTGAGCAGAATCCATTCTTGAGAAACTAACAGTCGTTCAGGAACATAAGAAATTCCCCGTCTTTTATGGAACCCAAAGGTTCATCACCGTGCCCGCCACTAGACTCAATCCGTCTCCATTTTACCTACATCTCCCAAGTGATCTCTTTTCCTACTAGACTTAGATTATTTTAATCCCAATTCACTGACGTAACAATGAGTAATGGGAGGGTGTCATCGATAAGTTGTGAAATATCTAAGACATAAGGTCGACGTTTTCCTGGTATCAAATGTAAGAGAAAGTGTTATATCTACGGGTTCCATCGGCACGTCACAAAATTCAATCCAAGTTCTTCTACACCGCCGTTTAATTCAAAGGTTCTCAACTGGTCTATGTATATGCATACAGAATAAGGTATTAAGAATTCGTGTTGACTACGCACGACTACCGTCACGTCTGGACGAGGCAAGCATACAGATTACGTCCAATGGGGAAACAATGTTCACAATAAAAGCTTAAGTTTCACTAATGTCTTTGCGCTTCACAGCGATTCCAGATTAAATCAAGTCCCTGTAAACGTACGAGATTTGAAGTTTTCACAGCCGTAAGAATGATTATGATAATGTTGTTTTAGGGCCCTGTAGAATCGATGGATGAGGCGAACGTTTCGGATAAATATACTGTACCCATCTTCAGGGTTGAAGTGGCAGTGCTGGGAGGTATAGAGATTTACACGGGGGAAGAGGAAAGAGATTTACACGGGGGAAGAGGAAGGAGTTTACCTACCCATCTCCTAGCATCGCCACTTCAACGCTGAAAATGGAGACAGTATGTCTCTCCGAGAAGTTAACATCCTACCAGTGAGTCTACACGGCGACGAAACCTAGGAAATTATCATCATCATCCCTATACGCATGTTACAACGTGTGTTCGTCTTCTCATTCAATAACGGACATCAGTTTTGTACACAATAAGCCTATTTTTTGTAAAGCCCGGTACGAACTCTTGCCATGTAAGATTTGAGGTTTTCACAGCGGTGAGTATGAAGATTTCTATCTTCTGGGTTGTTGCGCTGTGCAGTCTGGTAGATGTTTACCGACGTTTCAGAGGTCATACGGCCTCCATCATCAGAGTATGAAGATTTCTATCTTCTGGGTTGTTGCGCTGTGCAGTCTGGTAGATGTTTACCGACGTTTCAGAGGTCATACGGCCTCCATCATCAGAGTATGAAGATTTCTATCTTCTGGGTTGTTGCGCTGTGCAGTCTGGTAGATGTTTACCGACGTTTCAGAGGTCATACGGCCTCCATCATCAG